TTTTTTTTTTTTTTTTGCATTTATGTTTTATGGAAAGCCCTAAACGCCACTAAATGGGCACTTTACAATCCGTGCGTTTATGGCTTTCCATACATCTGAACATAGTGAGCCCAGCTGGAAGCGTTGGGCGCTTTTTTGCTGCTCAAAACGCATTCGGTGTGAACGTAGTATTAAAAAATGATTTACTGAAAATCTGAAAAAATGAATTATTTAATTTAAGAACATTCATTATGATGATTATTACTGTTTATAATAAACTTAACCATAAACGCTGAGTTTAGTTATAAGATTTCAACAGAAAAATATACAATCAATCCCTGTGGTTTCACAGTTAAATTTCAAGTCGTGATTTACATCAAAGCACAATAAAACATTGTAATAACACTCTTTTTGTGTTTTCTTTTTTATACATGTTATCTGATCAAGAAGAAGAAAATGTCTCTCTGTTTAAGAAGACACATCGTGTGTCATATTTTGGCTGCTCCTTCTGCTCTCCTGTCACTCATGCTCAGCTCACCTGTTCAGGCCACGCCTCCTCATTCAGTGCCACAGCCTCACCTGTTCCCACCAGTATTTAAGCTCCTCAGCCACAGTCACTCACTGCCAGACCTCTTGACACTTACTGGATTACCACAGGCCGCTCGCTCCTCCTCTTGGACCTAAAACCAACATGTCCGGCGGACTTAACCAAGTCTGGTTCGTTCGCAGCTGGAAGGTCAGTAATCACTCTTTGTTGTCGCTAATCCTCCACCACTGGTCCTGAAACTCATCAGTGTTCTTCCCCCGCAGTTCATGCCATCCCGAGGGTCCGGGGGTTCAACACGAAGCTGAATGTTAAATCTTTTAAACCTTTTTCTGCTTCCAGTAGTTCTGAATCCACCAAACTCATCTGACATTGTGGCATAAATTCAGATTTAAATAGAGTTTTGTCTCTCAAAGGTCAAAAACAGGTGGAACGGTTTACTCCCCCTTGAGGTGACCACTACAGTTTTGTCAGCTTTATTTATTTAAAAGTACCTCCAACAACAATGAAGCTACATTGTAATACATCTATATATGTAATATATCAAAAGTGTAAAAATGCAAAACAGATACTTTAACTTTACAGAAACAAAAATTAAACAATCGAGCTTAATTACTCAGTTTGTAAACTAATGTTTTCATTTATTTTAATATAAACACATGGTTGATTAAAACAAATGTTTATATCAATCAATAAGCTAGTAGACGGTCACTGTTTAGTGAAGAGAAAAAATTTTCTCCAAGTTTCCTTCATAATTGCCGTGTCTGAATGCAGTAACCTCACTAATCCCTGTTGTTGCTGCTGAGCAGTTTGGGGTAGGAC